AAAAAAAAAATTAATATATATATATATATGAGAATGCTTAAATAAAGGTGTTTTAAAATTTTCCACTATGATTGAATACAATGCTTTCTAAGTAAAACTACAATAAACAAACATGTACTGTAAAATCTAGTTTACATATCAGAAATACAAGAGATCATCAATTTTCAACTTCATCAAAAGCATAGGCTTTACTTATCTGATGTGTTTACAATGTACATACATATTGTTAAACAATTAATAAGAATTAAATTAGCCTATTACTTTAGGTAAACTACATTTTTGATTAAACAGAATATTACTGAAAACACAATCCCAAACTTTTGACATTAAAACATATGAACTGCGATACATTTATGTACTCAATACTTGAGACTAGCTTCAGATAATTAAATGTGTACTTCTACTCACCTTTGGTGCACATATCTGCGTGAACTTGTTTATTACCCAAACAGGTAGGGATCCTACAAGGAACAAAAATATTACCTTTACAATCCAAATAAATATATGAATTAATAAATAAAAATATCACAGCTAATGAAATAAAAATAAACAAAAATATCAAAGTTCTTGTCCAAAGTTTTTCCAGGTAAATCAAAATTCATACATTTCCAAATAATTCATTTTTAAATTAAATGTACATTTCCTTAAACTATTAGACAAGTTTGAAATAATAATAAACATGTTTCAAATGTTTGCAAGTTTTATAAAATCAATGATGTTTCCACAATAAAGAATAATACTTCTTGCTTAATATACCAATAAACTGGCCCAAAATTAGTTCAGGAACTTGGGAAGATAAATAGTTTCACATTTTTCCAAAGCAAGTAAAGTTAATCAGGGTTAACATAATTTAAGTTTCCTCATCTTACAACTCTTACTATACTATGTTAGTTTCTTACTTTTACAGTCCATTTAGTTCTTAATTATCTATATTTATGACCATAGGTAACTGCTTTGACAGCAACATAAATTCTAAAAATAAGCAGCTTTAGAAAAATGGAAACTACCTGAAATATGTAGACTGGAAAAAACAGCCTTTTTTATATGCTTATTACATGCAGCAATGAAAAACTTAAGATACTTTGTATATGTACACTGTTTATTATAGTTGTACATACATGTTTATTATCGGTAAGGTTAAGCAATTAAGTCCCAAATCACTATAATCTGTTTCCACCAATCATTCTTTTATCATATAAAGGATGACATTGTGTGGTGGGAAAGAAAAGCTAACTACTCTCTTAAGTAGTGTATATTCACACATCTAAGTTAGATGCATCTTAAAACTAAGGGTCTATATAAGGAGTTACCTTTCATGTTTCATATAATTTAATCAATTATACATGTAATCAGCATTTGTTATATGATGCATTTAATAAGGGATTTCGAAGAAGATGGCTTTGAATAACCCCAATGATTTTACCACAAGGTAAGCCCAAAACACCTAATTCCATACCAGTAACAATTATTTTTCTATACTACCTCATTTCTGAATTGTCTATCAATGTATTTCTATAACACCCAATTGATTTTTAAAGTTTAAAGCACAAAAGTTTATAAAGTAAATATTTCATTATTTAAATTGTTTTACTAAAGAATGTGAACATACCTTCCTCCTGCTTATCCATTCTACTCTTTTGAATATTACAAGACCCATTTATTTTATTTTTTTACATATATGTTACATACATTTTTTGTATATTGTTCACAATTTCAAAATCTTGACACCAAATTAAATTATGTGCATGTTTGTTTTATGATGATTTAACTTACATCCATCAGTAAAGTTCTCAAACTAAATGTAAAACAAAAATAATTGCTGGATTGTCTAGTTTCAGACTTACTATATTAGCTAAATACTTCAATACCTTTCAACATTCAATAACTCAGACATGTTGAAACTATTTTAAGGATTTGTATCTTGGCTACAAAAACAAATTTTTGAATATTATGCACAAAACTGTTATTCAAAAGGAGTCTTTTACAGTTTGAAAATATTTTTCCAAAAGAAAAAGAAATTTAACACTTACGGATTCATGTTAAAAACAATTACTACAGAGCAATAACCTAAAATGAAGTACATATATCTGAATTTGGTAAATTAAACTGCAATTGGTTAAGAGGGAAAATATTTTTATCTAGAAAACATTCAATTCTAGCAAAAAACAAGGTTACAATAGTCCATTTGCTAGGATGATTAAAATATGAGGTAAATTAAGTATTTACTATTTTCACACACATACAGGTACATATATTTATAGAGTTCAAGGCATTTGTCTTGCTTTATAAACAAGCTTTTACTCTAAAGGGAAGTATTAGTAATAGTAAAAAATCCTATTACAGGAAATTGGTGTTGTAACAATACACAAAATTAAAGCAATATTTTCTAGATAGTATTACAAATTTAGTACAATTTTAGGCATCAATAAAAATTTAAACTTTGCATGCATTTTTTCAATGTTTACTAGCAAGAGTAGAATTTTTTTTTCTACCAGAGACAAAAACAAAATGCAATGATACAAAAAAGCATCTCTAATCTCTTGTACTGAATTTATAGGAAATAAAATTTCCATCCTACTAATAAGACAGATTTGTCAACATGTCCCCAGTGACTGTACATTATTGAATTTCACAGTATAATAAAATAGTTTTACTTTAGTTCAAGAAACTTACCCCTTGGATCACACTGGGTAACATAGTTTAATTCACAGCCTTTACCATTAACAGGTCTTATAACAAATCCTGTCAAAAACGAGATTCCTCGTATAAAGCCTTTCTTTATTGGCAACAGCTGTTATGGAAACGAAAAAAAAATTGTTACACAATACTTTTGCAACAAACAAAATTAAATGTATGCAAAACTACATATTACATGCTATCAGCTAGTTGATAAAAAAAAACAAAATGTATGCAACAATCTACTCGCATAAAGTTCACCTTCTATTATTACTTTAAATTTTCTAACAATGTCCATACTACATGTTTTAATGAATCTCTGAAGAAAACAAATGTTTAGTAAAGAGCTGCACATTCATCTTACCTTATGAAAGACAGAGTGATTAAATAATAGATACTCCTTCCCTGTGTCTAACCAGGATCTTTGCAACACAAAGTCTCTATTCTTCAAAGGAGCTGGAAAACGAACTGGAAAAAATACACACGTTATATTGTGCTAAAACTCCTAATATATTTTCATTGCATAGTTCCTCAATGATTACAAAAGAAAGTGAAATATCTGCTTTAAAACTTATAATGGTTCATGATGATTCAGCATTTCAAACAAATACAAATTTTATCCATAATTCTCAACATATACAAATAGGCTGTAGTATAAAAACACCAAAACTTTTCATAGACAAAGTTCTTATGAGCAATGTATACAAAATAGCAGTATCTTTCCTTCAACATACCGGTTACACACACACACACACACACACACACACACACACACACACATATATATATATATATATATATAATAATTGTCTTTCTACAATATAAACAACAAAAAATAGTCTTTGGGGAGATACAGATACATATACCTTCAGATAATATAATTTTAATAGTTGTTTAATAGTTAGAAATGCATTTAAAAGTTATAAATGACCTGTCTTAGTATTTATAAAAATTATGAAACTAATCTCAAGCAAGTTAACACTTTTTTTTTAAAAGCTTATGCCTGGAATTCAGATATAAAAACGTTTATAGAAATTACTAACAAAAAAAAACAGTTTTTAAAATAAAAAGACAGAATTAACACACACAAAGTATTTGTTAAGAACATAGTCATTCATATCGCAAGTACCCGATAGAGGCAATAAATCTATCTTGGTTTACTTGTATCAATGTGCTCAACTCAAATATATTTTATGTATTCTGTACCTGTATTACTCATAACATACATGTAGGCAAATTGCATAACATAATGACCAAGGAAGAACTAGACTTCAACAAGATCTATAATATCATGGTTATCGTACTAAATGTTTGAAGCCTTTGTGATGTCATCACAAATCACATGATCTTTGGTCATTGACTAGTTAGTTGTATCTTTAAAAATGAAAGGGTAACAACACTATGTCACACATGAGCACTGAAGTGTAGGAAGTCTAGATGTACCTTTAAAATCAATAAGGAAGTTACTGTGATACATGTAAGCAAGTGATTTGGCAAAAATACAAAAAGATACTTCCAGAAACAAGATGAAAATAACTTTCAGCAATGTTAAACTGAATATAAGTAAATACCCATAAATAATAGTGAAAGAAATATTGGAAATTAGGCAATTACACTATGATAATTTCATCCAGTTATGATCTTGACAATTCTTTACACTACTAATAAAAAAAAAAAATTAGAAAGACATTATGTTGACAGAATTATTTAAAATCCTTACATACTTAATGATTACTTGAAAGTTATTTACAAGGGTGTAAGCTCAATAAACAAGAATAATTAAACTTCTTAAATTTGATTGGTATGAAATAGCTCAAATAAAAATAAGCACAAAAAAGGTACTTGTGATATTAAAACATTTAAAACAAATCTTTCAAATTCTTAATACTTACTTGCAATTTTGGGGAAAAATGAAATTATTTATTGCTGCATTGTAGTTCATGTATACTAGTTCAATATATTGGGGACAATTTTATTTGTGTTTTGAGGCTTTGAAACAAGTTTTCTATAGCATTCAGTTAAATAATTTAAGAATGCTTTATTCTTCCCTATTAAAAATTTTTTAATCATTTAGTCATGATGACAATAAAAAACAGTATTATAATAATTTCTGTATGTACATATAAATTATTTGAAACAAAAATTTATTAAGTAACTTGTATGCTCAAAACACTCACTGACACCTTAACTTTGTTTTGATAGAAAACAATTCAGTTTATTCTGTAAATTATATGCAATGCCTTCAATAAAACTTTAAGAGCAAAGGAAACTTGCATGCTTCACAGATTAAAACGTAACCTTAACAATCACTAAGATAATCAACTGTTAATAAAATTACATGGAAAGCATATTAAAAGTAAACTAACAATGAACTGAAAGGTCCTTTACTGTTAAGTTGTTCACAAATTTGGTTATTTCAGAATTTACAAAAATTCACTGAACTGTCAGTTTAAATAACTTATCTTGAAACTGAACAAAGTTATTGAATTTGCCATTCTTAATACAAAATACTATATTAAAAAAGTGGTTATTTGGAATGGTGGCATATATAATATCATATTTGTGTAAAAATATTTCCAAGAGAAAACAAGTTCCACTACAGATATACATAGCTTGTTTTCAAATCACAATGAACACAGATAAGTCAATGTTTGAATGACTTAAACCTTTACTAAGATTATTATGGAATGAAAGTAACATTTTGTTATCTCTGAAAAGAAACATTTCAGTTTAATTCCAACAACTAACATTAGTTGGATTAAACAACAACTTCAAAATCATTGTTTTCTTCAGTGGAATGTTTTTAAATATTTATTATCAGTGGTATACCTTTAAGAAGTTTTTTAACTAATATCCCCACTCCTCAAGTTATGTTTTGATGTTTTTGTATCTTCAGAGATTCTTATATTACCACTTAATGTTAATTCAGTTAAGAAACAAACACAAGCAAATACATTCACTAACAACTTTTTTTTTTTTTTTATTATATCTATAACTATATCTATTTCATATTTTATGTACACAAGTTCATTTTAATTTGTATACCACTGGTTTTATCTCAGGAAAATTACCTTTATATTCAGCTAAAAGTATCCTACTCTAAGATCAGAAAACTAACATGTAAAAAACATAATACTTAACTTTAAAGATAATGGGACATTTCACCATGTATTTAGAAAGGCTTCAGGCTCTGTTACTAGAGCATTCATTAGACAAGTTGTTACTTACTGACAGATTCATCAGTTCATTAGCACTTTTTAACTTCTTTCCACACGAGTCTCAAACCATATTTAAACAGTAATTTTTAAATTCAAGGTTACTACAATATGTAAACTGTAAATACATTTGATGTAGTTAAATGTAAAGATTAACAATGAAAGACATTGATAATTAAAGCCTAAAGTTTAATAAAGGTGGCCCTAAACTCAACTGCCCGGAAGCAGTATATTAGTTTTTAATTTTAACCTGTTTTAGATGAATGCACTAACATGTGTGTGTGTGTGTGTGTGTGTGTGTGTGTGTGTGTGTGTGTGTGTGTGTGTGTGTGTGTGTGTGTGTGTGGCGCGCGCGCGCACTGTTTGACAAATGGCTACTGAATTTGGTGCTGCAAATCAAATTTATCCACAAAGGAGAGATTGTTTGGGTTCAACTACCTTATGAACCACCTATATTATTTTCACCAAAAAAGCTAGTAAGAAATTTTTACCACTACGACAGCTATAAATAAACACCATTGAGAATTAAAACATAATATTAAACATGTAGTGCTCACACTGTAAGTAGCCAATGTATCATTTACAATTTATTGCATTCACAAATTTGCAAAAGTATATTTTTTTTTATTGAGAAAACTTTTTTCTCTCAAAATTCCTATTACATATGTCAATGACCTGTAATGCATGAATTGCCATCACTGTTTTTAACATTTTTATTACTAATGCATGGAGGTGTGAACATAACCTACAAAAAATGTAAAAATAGGCAACCTAACACACCTGTGGTGCTGAAATAGGGTGATTATAGAATATAGGGATATTCAATCTTTCACATCTTTTCCATTTCTCAAACATATACTATGCATGTTAAAAGTTATGCTTAACTTTAAATTTTGTATAATAGTATTCACTAACAAGAAAAATTGAGATAGACCATGAACACTATAATCTTCATAAAATTTAAATAGAAACTACAAAATAATCCACTGTATCTGAATTCTACCAGTGATCCTAGCTTTGAGGCTATCAAAAATGCATACACAACACATTTAAGGTCAAGTATTTTCCTAATTTAGATCTAATTTGTATGTACCAGTATTACTTTCATACAATAAGTTATAAGAATAAGGCCATTTTTGTACTCAAGTACATGTTCACATATTTTGTAACTGATGTAATAATAATTTTATTTCAACTTAAATTATAAAAAAAGTTAGACACCATTGGTTACTTTCAGAAGGATGAAGTAATCTGCTACATTTACAAAATCTTGAAAGTAAATCCATAAATATTCTGTTAAAGATATGCACGAGTTTACAAATACATGAATCAGATATTGAAGTTTTACCTGCATAGTAACCAATGTCATTGTTTGGATTAAGACAGCCAATATCATAACTGTCCAACATGTATATGTCCCATGTTTTACGATACGATGGATCCATAACAACATCATATAGAAGGGAAGGAAGAATGTCTTTAAATACAGCTTTAATCTGTAAAGATTTAAGTTTTATTATTTAAAAATATTTATACACTTAAAAACAATTTTTCTTAACAACTTTTATTAAGGCCATTCTATAATTATATACATTTGGTGGTATATTATTTGCTATAGATTAGCAGCCACATATTTCTATGTAAATAAACTATACATTTCAGTGCAATGAAAATATTTTTTCAAATGGCCTTAATAGAATATAATAACAGTTATATATTGTAAATTTTAAATGGCCATTTTTGTAAAAATTGGATATCATATTTAGGGGGGAGGGGGTACCAAATTAAAATCAATTTTTGTTTCATAGCACATTATCTTAATAGTCCTATAATGGTGTTTTAATACCACCTGTTGTTTACCTTTGATTAAGCATTACGTTAATTAAAGCATACGACTCTATTGATTACACTATATACTATCAACTGTACTAACTGTATAGTACCAACTGTATAATACCAACTATACTAACCGTATGGTGTAGCAGCTTTTGCCCCACCCTCTACGTGAAGCAATAATTATAGGAGGTTGAATCAAATGCATGTAATGATGAAATTCTGTATGTACTCAAGAAAAAAATATATACTGTGTGTGTGCCAGGTTATCAAGTACAATTTGAGAGAATCACCACAATCATTTCACAATTAAAGTAATGACATCACAAACTGGTTTTAACACTTTGGACTGATGCAATGTTGGAGAAGTACTGTTTATCATAATTCTAAATTTAATATGTATATCTTCATGAAATGTTGACAGCTTTTAGCAAACATTTGGAGTTTGTTGTACACAATAAAAAAAACTGAATTTATCACAAGAATAACCTAATAAGTTACAACTTTTTATATTTTAGTTAATTTTATAATAATAAATAAAAATATACATAAAAAATAAGAAATTCTAACAAATAGCCAAATACTTACTTTGCAAGTTCTTATAATTATCATTCTACTTTGTAGAAAAGTTTAGATGTGACATTTCTATATCAAACTTTTGAAATTCACATGGTGTTATGCAGGCAATGTAACACGCTGAAATAACATGTACGGAAAGTTTAAAAAAGGGGTTATTTTATTTTCGGATAGTATTAACTGATCAAAATTTATTGTCTATGGAAAGTGTGGATGGAAAAATTTTGTGGATAATATTAACATATTAAAAGTATGTAATTGTGTAAACAATTGAAAAAAAAAAAGTTATTTTTTTTCACTATAACTTAAGAGTTTTGAAATTCAACAATGACTAAATACCACTTTGAAACAAAATTAGCACTTTGTAATCTTTATATTATTAATTTAGAAAATGTGAAAATTATTTGATTTGAATTTAGGTAGTCTGTAAAAATGAATAATTAATGCATGGTGTAGGTTAATGAAATGTAATTCTATGAAAAAACTATTAAATATTATCAGAAAGAAGATATGGCATGGTGCATACAAATCAGCTACAATTACTAGTTCCCTAGTGTATTCTAACTGAAAGTCCATTTGGACAACAGTGTAATTTGTACAAAAAAAAACAAGAACTTCAGCATATAACTCATAAGCCTTATGGAAAGTAAACTTGTCATAAGAAGGAAAAAAACAATATTGCATATTTGCTAAATAAACAGATGAAACTAAAAAAAACTGGAAGTAACTTAGTTCTTGATTTGATAGAATACATAAAACATCACTATTTTGACAAGTGCAATGTAATAATATCTAATAATTTGTTCTTAAAAGCCCACCTACCTAATTTTTTTGTTGCAATATTACCATAGATATAGAATGCTTTTTTGGCCTAATGTGCAATTACAAATAAACATAACTATACAGAATTACATGTGTTGAATCAGTAATGACTCATTTCTTACTAGAATACAGTTGTGTAAAAAATAAGGACTAATTTTATATCCACAATAATTTTATTCTCTACTTTTAAAAAATAGAACTTGCCATTAAGATTAATGTTTCTTTGTACACTGAAGTAAAGATGCATTTAAAGCATTACTGAAATATAGTTGCCTTCAATATGTTCATCACTATGGACTGATCAGCTTCATATAGTTATGTTTATATTAAATTGTAAACATGACTAAGAACTAAGTGTATGTAACTTATGTTAACCTGTACCTACTAGGAATCTCACCAATCTCTTATATTTACTTTTTTTATTTTTTATAATGAACATCATGAAGTTCAACATCATTATGCTCATCTGAAGGTACTTAGACACTTTCAAACAGCTTTTTATATGAAGTCAATAAACTACCGATTTAAATACTCACAAATAAAAAGATCTTAAAAAACAGTTTTGACCATATGCCTACATGAAGTGTCAGTTAAATGAATATTTCATTCATTTCTGGAAATAAAATTATTTTTCAAAAACACTCCAAAGGATAAATACAATTTTACCATCAATACTGATGTTCATTGAAAAACTAGAAATATTATAGCTCACTAGATGGATTACTTACTGTAAACATTTTTCAAACATCAAAAAAGAAAAAAATTTCCAGAAATATTTTACAATTAAAACTGAAGTCACTGATTGTGCCTTAAGATGTTACAATATCTTAAACCCAGAATAAAAGAATAGTAATTTAAGCAAGGATAATGTACAGACTATGAAAACTAAAACTAGATAAAGGTAATTGTGTCATGATTTTAAACAAAGTGTATTACATCAACAAAGTGAAAGCTATTCTAAGTCATACAGAAAAGTGTTTGTGGCTGTTACATGGCTTGCTGATTTGCATATTCAAAATTGTTTAATATAGCATACTCAAACCTGAAGTTATTTAAATGCCTTCAAATGAACTACTTGCATAGACTGACTTTTTTCAAAACTGTTATTAAAAATTAATCCACTAGCTCAAAACAATACATTTGTAATGATTACACTAACCTATGTACATTTACACAGCTTTGCTTATTTCTCACATTTTGTGCTACCCCATTCTGTGTCTTATCAAGTGCCACACCAAAATATCTTCTTCACAAGCCTTTCTTTTATACATCTTTTTTGCTTTATGCATTACAATGTAGCATTTGTAATGTTTATTGTGTGTTCAGTTCTAAACAATACATTGAATAGTTATTTTTACTTCAGATATCTTTAGCAAGTTCAAAATGCAAATTTCTGGGATTATTAGTCATTTGAAATGGACAATTAGTGAAATCTGCTAATGATTAATCATCAGATTCATGAATCAATTACATTCAACAAATCAATCATTCTGACACGATACTCATGATAATTGAAGCACTCAAAAACAATATTTTTGATTATCTTCATGAATCACCTTGAATTAATCAAAAATATGAGATCATCACTGCAACATTTTGATTATTTAGAGTTTGTATAAACAAAAACAGTAATGGTAAAAAAAACTAATTTCAATTAATCGATTATTTTACGTGACACTAATCACCTAGTTTTATTTGGCATACAGTTTATCCTAATCCATGCTCAGATTTGTTTGACTACGTGTATTAATATGAAACTTATTACACCCTTTGACAGAATAACATTTCCTACCAGAAATACTGAGGTTTTAACTGTAGTAACAAAACGTTAATTACTATCTTCTTTTTTATTTCCTTGGTGTAATCACTACAAGTATTTTTTTTTGGCCTGCATGAAAATTTTAGTATAATATTTATGTTTGTTTTTATTTATAATTCATTCAGCTAAAGTTTGGTTTAATGTCACACTAAAGTATATATATAAAAGCATATATTCAAATCAAAAATATTTACCTCCTTTACTTGACTCTTGGAAACTATGTTTTGCATTCATGATGGGAAAATATGAATTGCTAAAGTTAATTATCTATTGGATATTTAACAATACTGTTTCAGACCTTTATAATCTGATACAGTTCTGATTTTCAAGAGTACACTTAAGTAAGACAGGGCAATATATGTTTACAAGAGTTATCAAATCAGCTGTAAGTGCAACTAGTGCTTCACAGAGGTAAGATCTAGGATCAAACAAATACCTTTAGTTTTTGGCATGTGTAAGGTTGCAGAACAGGAACAAAGAAAAGAAATGCTTGCTATTATTCTAATGTTAGATGTATTAGAAACAAATTATCAACTTTAAAGCTCTTAACAGAACAGAGAATTTCAATATCATGAGATTCACCAATACTTAAATAGATTTAGAAGACAGAAATTCAATTTGTAATTCAAGGATATATGTTGTGTAATAGAGTATTTAAAAAATGGGGAGATGTAGTTTTTTTACATAAGAAACTCCAGCTTGTTCAAGTTAAGAATATTAGAGGAAAACAAGAAGGTTGAATCAGTGTGTGTGTTTTTGTTAGCTGATAGAGATGAAAGGATTTTAATTGGAATCTGTTATAGGTCACCTGATCAGATTGATGAAATTAATTAGAAGCTTTGTAATAAGGTCAAAATGCAGCAGCTAATAAGATCTTAATCATGGGAGATTTTAACTTAAGGTATATTGACTGGAAACTTTAGTGAGGGTGAAAGGTTTTTGGAAACTATTCAAGGTGGTTTTCTTCATTGAATGGTTTAGGAACCTACAAATGAAGATGCCACTTTAGATTTACTAACAACTTTTAATGTGGATATGGTCAAAGGGTAGAAGTGAGGGAGCACATGGGTGCAAGGGATCATTGTACAATTAGTTTTGAGGTGATATTACACAAGGAGATCAAGAATAATAGTATTTTTGTTCAAACTTTTTTAAAAGCTAATTTTAATGGGATAAGACAAGATTTTTGATCAACCAAAAACTGGTAATTATTCAAGATTAAATATATGTGCAATATGACTAATTTCTTGAGCTCAAATAGCATATCCAGCTCTGCCCTTGATGAAATCCTGACAGATCCAGTGAAAATCTGAAAGTGAACTCTTACTCAATAATGGGCTTTCTTTTTGAAGCTCTTGTAATGCACTTTAGAGAGACTTTAAGGAGACTGCACTTCTCCATCTTTTTTTCTCCTAAAAATGTGGAAAATATGCAAACAAACATGCAAAAGTATATTTTAATATTTGATCTGTTGCAGTTATTCATCTGCAGATCATTAAAAAAAAAGGTTTAAGTCCACAATCCTGTGGTTGCACATGTAACTATCCTACTTTGTAGTTAATTTGATAAGGTTAACATTTTGATGATTATTTTGAGAGGTGCGTATATCTGCTTTAAATGCAGGTAAATGGCATATTAAAAGAGTAAAAACATTGACATATTGCACAATAAAATTTCATTTACTAAAAACAGGGCACAGATCCTAAAAAATACTACAGGTTTGGATGGCACATTATGCTAACATCTCTTGTTAACATTGTGCACTATTAAAACATTCAGTTCTTTTTAGTGGCTGTGCCCTGTTTCTTATTAAATCAAATTTTATTGCCCAATATATCAATGTTGTATGAGCATTTTTAATCTTATTTGTGCACAAGTGCCAACTAATTTAGTTGAGTGGTATATTCTTTAAAGTAAATGTCTTTTTGCTGAAGTAGCTCTGTGTGTGTTGATCTTAAAATGTAATAATTATTTTAAGTCACTTAAACAGAGATGGGGATCACACTTTGTTGTCTATGTATTCCAATACGTACCATATTGTGAGTCTAGTATATCATCTCATCACTACCCTAGAACAGTGTAGTAGCCTTTGAAATATTGTTTGCAGGCATGATAGATGTACAAGTATTAGGAAAGTTCAAGAGAGGGCTTCATTTTGTCAAACATCCATCTGCTTATGAGTATATCCAGTCCCAACTTACTGAAATGAACAGGAAAGCCACGATGCACTAAGAAGCCCCTTGTTGTCCCCCAAATGTTTTGTTTATCCACTCAATTTAACCATGAGACACTATTCACACTCTTAACATGTTGTGTGAAGATGGGGTTGATTCTTCTTTCAATTTTTTCCTGGTCACAACACTTCTAAAACATTCCCCAGCATTTGAAATAAAGGTTTTTCATTGTAATATAATGTTTATTTGAATTACAAATGTAAGATTAACAATACATTCAATCCCTTAAGGTTCTTTAGAGAGTGAGTGTGTATAATAGTATCACTATGTCTGCAATATTCATTGCCAAAAATATGTTTCATTCAAACAGCTGGGACACAAACAGTAGTGGATGGAACAATATTCATATAAGACATTTATAACAACAATTGTTATGGATATGGTGGACATGTATAGCTGAAATATTATACAATGACTTCTTGAGAAAACACAGAAAATAAAAAATGTAGTGTTAAAACTCTATAAGCCTATATTATAAAATGTCTTACGAGCAGTAAAATTACTTGAAAGATATTTACAGTTACAGAATAACATTTGTCTTAAAAATGGCTTATAAGTTATATAAGTACTGTTCCAGTTGGCCTGAAGAGCTCTATGTTGAGCAAAATGCATCATCAGCAAGACATAGCAGACAGCTTTGCGGATATACTAATATATCTTCGTGGAAAAAATATCCTCAAGGTCTGAATAACGAATGTAGTGATAAAAATGTAGTAGTCTTAACACATACTTATTTTAAAATTTAAATTATACCCTCAATTTCAAACAAAACCTTGGTAAAAAATCTTAAACTTAAAGCTTTTGTAAGGTTAACCGTTAAGTATACAACTAAAAATTAAAAGTTATTAAAACTTGAACTTCAAATAAAAGATTCACAGTTTTCATGGTTCTACTAGTACTAGTTTTAACATTAAGTGATTAACTTATTAAGCCTAACCAGTAAACACAAAATTTAATTTTTCCCAACATAAAAGAATCAGCATACTTTTATCATTTTAAAGCTCGTCTGCTGTGTTGATTTTGTCCAGACTTTAGTTGAGCTTTTACTGTACACCATTTTCCAACCATCATTTTCATCAATAAGGGTAGTTAACTTCTCAAAATCGCGGTCATCCGCTACACGAACTTCTCCCACATCCATTGCTTTTCACTCAAGCTAATCTTTACACTTACAGTAGTCACTCATGAACAAAACTATTATTGGCCCTCTGGTGACTTTTATTACACTAAATCAGCTAATTATGCAAAATGTGATTATTTGTGTGAAGAAGATTGTACAAATATTTCACTTTGCAATAAACGACCCAAAAGAGCGTCGATATTTTTCCAACACCTTACATACTTCGTTGAATTCGGATATATATGTACAAGCTGAAATACCCGTCAACTGACGGGGAATGTTTAAACTTAATTAAAACAATGTAAGTCTAACAACAATCATATATTTCAAAGTAATAACTGGAACGTAAACTTTATCTCAAAATTATAAAGCTATAACGAAGCATCTTCATAAACAACATTTGCAGTGCCAGTTTGCCTTCTATCTACCAACAAATACAGATTCTGAGGTGATCCCGCACTTGAACACCCTACATCTCATTGACCATGAGAAAAGCATGGTTGTTCGAGAAACAATCCAACAACTTTTGTACTTTGACCTTCAATCCCTTCAGAATATTCAACATTGTCTAAAGTTTCAACTTGCCACGATTGTTTGAGATTGATCCAATAGGCTGGGAGTAATTAACCAACAAGCTTTACAAAATAGAAATAGGGTTAAGTTAAATTAACTTGTCCCCCCCTTACCCCCGTTAAGACTTACTTACCCTAGTTACTACTAGTTAGTTAGTTA